TACATAGTTCTGCTATCAGCAATCTTTTCAGTGACTTTCTTTTCAGAGCATTTCATAGATGTTGACAGAGATCTGTGTCAGATTCACAGTCTTATAGATGTTATCTTCATAAACTCTATTATTGTTAGAGAATATTAAGCTTCTGTTTCAAGTATTCAATAAAATATCTTATTCAGATAGTCAGACAAGTTCTAATATAAGATTATAATTAAAATTATCAACTTCATATATATAGACATCTTCATATTGATATTCTTCAACATCTATATTCAACTTCATTATGTAATAAATATAAATGTCTTTTGAGTCATCAAATTCTGTGAGAAGTCAGAGTTTTGATAAGAAAATACACTGAAGATTGTAATATGCCCCGGTGGCCGAATGGTTAATGCGGCCACTCAGTAGCGCCTTGGCGTGGGAAACCAAGGCGCGTGGGTTTGAAACCCGCAGGGGATACATTAAATCCGGAACTCAAGCACCTCAGGTTTCTAATAAATACAGAGGTGTACAAATCACTTCAATGAATCACTCTATGTTTCTGAGCTGGGAAGTTATTATCACATGTATCTAATTGTCACTCCTTTGTATTTTCCTATGTTCTTGTTATCTTGGCGTGATCTTAACACCTGTATTTCCTCCTGTATAATTAACACTTAACCTGTATTTAACATCATGCAAGAACTCATCATAAGCTCCGCTTGTATATGAGTATAATGAAAGAATAATAATAATAATAATAATAAGATTGTAATATCTTACAACTGAAGATTTAATCATTATATAATAACATAGACTGCTGTCTATTATAGCTTTCATATTATACATATTATTAATTATAGTAGATATAAGAATCACATTTATTATCATTTTCTCTTTAAATTATTATTATCTGATCTCTTCAAGCTTCTGTTCATGAATTTGAATAGAAGCTAATCTTTTTCCTGTTTTATCAGAGTATTCTTATAGTTATCTTCTGAATCTTTCTTCAATACAATGTGATTGATACAGACAGATATTGATTTATTCTTCAAGTGAGAAGATATATAGACTGATCAGCAGTTAAAAGCAATATGTTCTGATCAGTTACAGTTGATATACACTTCTCATTGATATTTATCAGTGACTTCTTTGAGAGTGATTTCAGAAACTTGAAAGCTTATTTGAATGATGAAGACTCTTGCTTATGTATAGACATTTGAGTTCACTCAATTCATGACATCTGTATTGTCATTCTTCAGCACAGATGTATGAGTGACTGAAGTGTAACATCTTCTATCACTGTTCTGTATACTCTTGAGCTTGATAAGATAATCATTTAATATCTGAAGTTGTACATAGAAACCTTCATAAGTCTGGTCTTTGTCTACACTTACAAGAGTCTGTAATAGTTTGAAAGTTAATATCTTCTTGAGTATACTAATCTTCATTCAGTTCTTTCAAGATTGATCACCTACTTCTAGAATCTTAATATCAAAGTCAGGAATAAATGTTATGAGAGAAGTGTTTCTCTATCAGATACTCTGTAATCAATCTAATACTTTCTATTATATAACAGTGTCTTAGAACAGAATATCAAGATATTTAATAATATTATCAGATGTTCATAACACTGATTCACATACTTTTATTCATAAATGAAACTTCTGTTTCACATGATCTCTCAACTGTTTATTGATATATCAATCTTAATTGATTAGTGAACTGATAATATCTTCATCTACACTTAGTTTCACAAGTATTTCCAACCTCTATGATAAGTAGAGAGTGAGATTAGAAGTATTGAAATATGTGAGAGTATTTAAGTGTTTCTTCAATGTCTGTATTATATTTATAATCAATTCTGTTGATATTGAAATTGTCTGTGCAGGAATTTCTAGTTGAGATAATTATTGAATTTTCTTATATTGATATTGTTGAGTTGCATGCATATCAGCTATCTATTACTGTTATAATTTCAATATTGCTAAGAGTCACTGTGGTATTATATCTATACTTATATTCAAGAGTTCTCTCATATTATCATTAGATATAATTATATTGATTGTCAGATATGTGATATCTATGAAATTGAAAGAAGTGTAATTATATAAGTATCTCATACATCTGTGATGTCAGAACTCTCAGATCTTTTACTAATATTCTCTTTATAAGATCTTACTCTCTTTATAAGATCTTGTTACAGAGTCAGAGTAACTGATAAGCAAGCTTCTATCTGAGAACTCAGTGTCTATTTAACTATTTAACTGTTTCTCTATTTCTTACATGTTATTATACATTCAAATATCTCAGTGAGTAATTGTTTCTAATAAGGAGATAATGAATATTTTTCAAGTGTAAGAGATCTACACTGAATAGATCAGTATAATATTTATAGATCTTATATAACAAAGTGAAAAACATTAGAGAAGAAAAGAAAGAGAAAGTATGAGAATCAGTAATCAAAGTGAATATTTATACATGTACATAGTGATGTACACAGTGAAACTTCAGAGTGAAAGAATAGAGGTTTTTATACATGATGAAGCTTCAGAGCAGAAGAATAGAAATTTCATAGATTTTCAGCTGAGAATCAGTGACTGAGAATTAAAGCAGTAGAAATCTGTGAAGTGTAACAGAATAGTCTATATAATTAATTGAGTGCAGCCTGCTACATATAGTCTATATAATAACAGCTGATTTTATTATTATATATAATATCTTCAGTCTAAACTGAATGATCTGCTGAATCTCACATACAGAGAGTAAATATATTAAGAGTAAGATATAATAGCATAGACAGTGTCTCTTTTTTAAATATACTTAAGTTTGAATTTAATCTTCTTTTTTTCTTCTGATTCATATCATAGTGAGTTCACTGAAATATTGAAAATTTCATACTTATTACTGATCTGCTCTGTCTTATTATTATATAATCAGCTAAAATACTTTTAAATATTGTAGATGTTTTCTTTTTCTTATAATTAAAATCATTTACAGTTGCTAATTATTTATCTTAAGAAGTATCAACTTCAGAAGCATATCTGAGTCTTAATCATTATATCTCTTATCTTACAATGTGAGCTTAGAGAGAAATAACTTAGTTCAGTAATTAAGCAGATTATTTCTATAGTATTTTCAGTAGTAAATCAATCACTTATTAATCTTATTATTCAGATATATACAGCTATTATAAGAAGTAATAATCTATTAATATTTTAATTATCAAGAGAAAATGATTCTGAAGTAACTTATTAAATTATACTGAGAGCTTACTGATAACTATAATTTCTTATTAAAGTAGCAGTCAGAGCAGCAGAAATATTTAAGCTATTTTAAACTGATTCAGTTATTAGTTATCAGTCATTCTCTGCTTTAACTATAAGTACTGTTACCATGCATATCAGTGATTATATAAAAAAAGCAAAGCTTATATAATATATAAAGAAATAGATAAATATATATATTAATTTACACTATATTAAGTAAATTAAAGAATATATAGTATTTAACAACTATAATATTCTAATAGAAGAGAATAAGTATCAGAACTATAAAAATCTAGTGCAGTGAATAAATTATTAAGATATAGAAAAGATACTACTCTTATAGAAGAGCTTTTATCAAACTTTATAACTAGTATTAAGAGATTTCTTTGATAACTCTGATATATATCTGATACAGAAGATTCAAGATTTATATACAATTTATTCAGCACTGTTTAATAATCTACTGAGAATGAATAAAGAAGCTGAAGATAAGAATAATAATTTATTAAACTACTCTATTAAGTTAAAGTTAATAAAAGATTATATTACTCTGAAGATTTTTAATCATCTATTATTAAATAAGATATTAGAGAAAGTTAGTATATAATTTATAAATCTCTTTAAGCTTAAATTACTTTATTTATTTCTTAATAAGTTATAAGAATTCTATAACACTGATTAAAATAAGTTCTTAGTTTTAAAATCAGATCACTGTTTAATACTTTTCTATAATAAGTTAATATTCTCAGTTCAGTATGTCTATTCAATCAATTAATTAATTAATTAATTAATTAGTTATTAACTTACTAATATATAAACTAGAGATTGTATTCATCAAATCTCTCTTATAAAAGAGAATATTATTTAATATTAAGAGACAGAGCTTAATCAGATTATAATTATATTTATTTATAAAATGAGAGAAGTTAAGTAAATTTTCTTTACACTTATTTCTCTATATTATATTATATATGATTGTCTACTGAATCTGCTGATTTTACAAGAGAATTCTGATAATTACACTATTATCAGACTGTTAGTGATTTAAAAAACAGTATTATATAACATTTTAATACAGAATAGTGATAAAAATGATGATTATTTAATATATAAGTCTCAGATAATAAGATATTTATATTATAATTAAGATATCTTATTTCTTTAAATAGAATAGATAGTTAATGAATAGCAGCTGTTATACTGAGTAATAGATAACTAACTAGCTTAATAGTATTGATTTCACTAACAGAACAGTATACAGTATCTCATAGTATCTTAATAGTATTCTGATAATAACATTTATTAATTACACAGTTACTGAGTAGTGTCATGATAATATTAGAAAGTTCTGCACCATCTCAATATCATCTTGATATTTAATATTCAGTGACATGTCACTGAATATAATAATGAAACATGTGTTACAATCAGTGACACGTGACACAGGTGAAATGATGGATCCACGGTGTAATCACCGTAAATTAACCCTACGTTCTTCCCATATGGAAGGATAATCTATTTTTGAGTAACCAATCATTTTCCTTTGATTTAACGACTAGGACGGACAAATAGAAATCGGGCTCTTCAGATAGGTAGGTAGAGAAAGAAGGCAAAAAGCAAAAGATATCAAGAAGAGGAAAATAACAGACAACTCAAACACAGCAAAGTTAATAACAGAATAAAGCCACAGGAATTTCAAATCACACACTCAGATTCCCAGCAACACCAACACTTTTTTGTCCAGGACAAAGAAACTTAGTTGTTCATTTCGTCATTTTTATTGTCGAAAGAATAGTCTGAGTCTTCCTCACTCTCTTTTCGTTTTTGGTAGGCTCGGAGGCGTTGGATGCAAACATATAGTTCATGTTTAGTCATCGGATTGAGATCGCTGGCGTTGAGAAGTTGCTTGAGCATAGCCTGTTCATTGTCCAGACTGCTTTCCTTTTCCGACTTGCCACGCAGGATGAAGTCCTGAGCCTCTTCTAGTGCAACATAGGCGTCCCGAACTTGATCGTTGGTGCATACCAGTTGGCAGAGTTGATCCTGTGCTTTCTCAAGGAGCGTTTTAATTGCCTTAAAATGTTCCACCTCGCGTATCATGCTCTGCACAGCAAATGCACGAGATACGGCCATGCCGGACGGGTCGGTGACACAGCGAGTGATTGCCATTGTTCTTGATTTTGGAACAGCTTGTGGGATGTTGGTTCGATAGTAGAGGGAAGGAATTCTTGCCGCGCAGTATATCAAAATACAGACCAAGATATTTGGGCTGCTCCTATCCTTTTATGCTTGTAACCAAAACGGCGGAACAATCTTAGGACCAGCACCAGCTGCCAAGCAGCATGGTAAATTTTGACAGCTCACTTCTCTCTCTGGGTCATCATGCATGTAACAAGGCGCAAGCATAGTGGTGTATGTAATTCCCGGGTCAGAAATAAAGCGCTGGTGTCAAAACTGTGCATGCATGTAAAAGGGCGCATGCGCAACAAGACAAAAAAGCTCAGACAGCCTGAAATGACAATACCCCTCTCATGCAGCTACAGAAGCAACCGGTGGGTAATAAGCATGGATACCCGGCCTGCATTTGCAAGGCAACGGGCTAGCGGTGTATGGCTCTTGCTCCAGGGGCCATCCTTCATCGAAATATGCAGCAACAAAGAGCTTGATGGAGGGTAGTGTATAACACAGCAGAGTGGAAGGCCTTCCTGCCCCACTCATGAGGTGTAAGGATGAGCCTCTGGGAAGCTCAATCCGCGCGGGGTCATTACATCATGGGGGAGCAGGCGGTCTGTCTTAGTATGAAAGGGGAGCAGGGCATGGGAGTTCTTATTGATTGAGCATCCGGAATTTCTAATTTTCCGAGATAGTTACTATTTCTTCGGCAGGCGTGGTTCTATTTTTGGGTAACCAATCATTTTCCTCTGATTTAACAAAATTATCAACAACATCGCTCAACAGAAATCAAACAAGGCCTCTAGATAGCGACGAGTAAACATGAACACTATTCTCTAATTCCATGTTTTCCGAATCTCCACAAGACCACCACCCCATGGTTCACGCCATCCTCGGTATTGAAGTTTTAGTTCCACCCCACAACTCTTACACGCGTCATCCAACAAGCCAGCTCTGTCTTCCCAATATTCAGCATATGATTCAATGGATACCAGCTTTAACTCTACTGAAGCTACGGTGATATAGTCTATCAGCAACTGGGGCAAGGTGTGTTGGTTTGCTTCATCATTTGCCTCTTCCACATAAAGACATTCCAACGCAGGAGGCAGATGATTGATTAGTGGTGGTTGACGCGATACTAGACATTCCGCCGGCACTTTGAGTGTGGTGAGGGTTGACAGTGTGACAAAGTTAAAGGTGGTTAGATGCACCTCACCATGGTGGTTAAGGCGAAATGACCTAAGACTGCATAGTTGAGATAGCAAGTGCGCGACACTTTCATCTGCTGATGGGCTGAGTTTCACCAATTCATCCACCTGTCTGTCTTTTCTCAGATCATCAATCTCGAGTGTTTTGATGTACCCAGCCAAGGTTGAATCTCTATCAACCATTGTCAACAATTTTAACACATGGAAATATGCTTTCTTAGAGGCGTTCAAGTTGACTGTTTCATAAAGGCATGGCTTGATCGAGTAGTGGAAGGATCTGCAGGTACAGGCTAGATGTGCGATGTCTCTTGTGTTCAGATGGCCCGCAATCTGTCGTTTCAGTTCAACAGGTAGTCTGATGATATTTGCCTTCATATTCTGATTAGTACTTTCATTTATCATAGTTGATAGATCTTCTTGGCCTTACCCCGTGTGGAAAGTTGACCTGGCTTTGGAATGGAGGCTGGCAAAGCATAGCGTAGCAGGGTCAAAAACGGTTTGCGTGTTGAAGTACTCTTGTTAAAACTTGAAGAAATATTTTGACCAGCTGAACAGCTAACCACACCGCGGCTATTACAACTGTCCAGAAGGCAACACCAAGCAAGATAAAAGGAAGGGTAAACACTAGACACCAGCTTAAAAGTCTTTTGAAACAGGGACTGAGGAGATGATTGAGATTGGTCTTTTGTTTTGGATTCTTTGATCCCATGCCGGCTAGCATTGTGTATGCACAGAAGAGAGTGGTGGGTGCAACGCCTCTCTTTATGGAGTCCAGGCAAGAGGCACAACAGGATCCAGACTTAGCTTGACCACATTGCTTCCCACCCGGGGGACTCGGGTTGGGCGCCTGGAATTTGTTAGTATTGCAGGGGCAATCATCAGGTAGGCAAGCAACCAGCGTGCAAATGGGATGAATGATGCATCTCATTTTTAGCAGCTGTCGATTCCTGGGTCATGGCGCATCTGCGTCAAAACTGTCATGGATCCTGGAAAGAATGCCGCTTCAATGGCGCCTCGCCCTCAGATAAGGGGATAGTGGGTGCCCGACCGTTCTACATCTAATCAGCCTTAAAAATGATAGAGTCCAATCTAAAACAGTTGGAAAATTAATGATACGAGAATTCCTCTTGCAATTTACACTAAATCTAAATCTTACAAATATTACCAGTTTAAGCAGGGACCTTATTCTGAACAGGTATCTCTGTTTCGATTCTGAATGGCCTGGGAATCTGTCAGTGAAAAACTAAGCTGGATCATGAACTCAGTCTAATTACCTTTTTTCCTCTCCTCCAAAGATCATCATTGTCAAAATCTGGAATCTCCTCCACGGGGTTTTCTGTTGTCGTGTCAGGCTTATCTGAGGAACGGAAGCAAAATATGCAATACACATGTGCACATGCGCATCTGTTGACCGCTGAGCCAGTTTCTTCGCAGAAACAGCACTTATTGATTCGATTAATCCAAGTCTCCTGTTTTTGTTTCCTCTCTTTATCCAGTTTCAGCTTCAGTTTACAATACAGGGCCATTTCGAGCAATGATTCTGTTTCGGTTTCTGAGTCCTTGTCAATGTTTGTCTCAGCATCGTGATGCTTATGAGAGCTGTAGGTTCTTTTGTTGGGTTGTGCATTTTCTCTCATCGCTTGGGTACTTGCTCTCTTGCGTAATTGCCGGTTTGAGGTCAAATCTTTGTCCATATCTGAAAAAGTGTTAGCTACACAATGAAAAGCACATAAGAGAAGACCATATACCTCTCCGAAATTGCTGCCGTGCAAGAATAAAGACAAGATGGAACTGAAACCAGAAAGAAAGGAGAAAAGAAAAGAGAAAGAAGAGAGAAAGAAGAGAGAAAGAAAAATCATCAATTGTAGCTAGGTCAATTATAGTTAGACAGATAACCCAAATGATCGAAGTGCATCTTCCCAGTTACTATAATCAGCTAATTCATTGTATCTCAGCTCTCGCTGATAGTTCCCCTGGCATCCCTCGCATAATACAGTAAATACACCCGTCTTCAATTCCGGCCGGTTCGGATAGTAAATTGAGGTCACCGCCCTGATTTTCTGGAAATTACTGTTAGAGAGATGTGCTGATTCAGGGCGAGCCGTCCGAACCTCGTCTAGTTGTGTATAGCTTTCCTCGGTCATCGATGTGGCCGCCATGGTACGGCCTGGAATGAAAGGGAGGTGAGCAGAACGACTTTCTTGGTAGAGGCTGAGCTGGCCTAAATCGGCTAAAGTGTTCCCCGGTCGAGCCATATAGACACAAATAGTGATAATCAACATCGCCTGGAGCCAATGTCAGCACACGTCGGCGAGAGCCATGGTTTCAACGAACTTACTTCAATCCAGAGGGGCCAATCATGGACAAGTCCACCTGCGGCAAACCCTGCTGTTATGATAACAAGGATTGCATGGATTGCAAATGGTATACCGCGAATTCCGCGCCATAAAAGCAGGCCGGCAAGTACCATGTAGTCAATAGATACAATCACAGCTGTACCTTTCACCAATGCTTTGTAGGTGACCGAGCTAACTAAGATCAAACTGAGCTTTACCAGAGAGGACAGAAAACCATATCCTAGGAATAGTGGTCCAGCCTGGATTTTGCTCTGCCGAATCATCTAGTCGCAGTTAGCAAGGATAAAATTAAGAGACTGGGAATAGCATACCTCTAGGGCTAGCGGGAATGCTGTACATATTCCCAAGGGATAATAAAATGTTGGTGTATCTCCACGCCTTAAGCCTGATAGACCAATGCCAATGACAACAGCATTGACACAGATAAAGAGAATGAAGATTGATATCTCAAGTAAACGGTGAGGCTGGGAGCGGTGAACAGTAAGTGAGATGATATGCATCACACTTAGTATGACGAGCACTGCTGGCAGAAGTGCATATGAGATGTTAGAATACATTTTTCATAAAAAGGCAGCCAAGTCAGTCCATTTCGAGATGATCTGTCGCGGGGGGATGGAGCAATGCAGTGTGATTTATAGTTCTCGGGCCTGTGCGCCTCAAATGGGCGTTTTCGACAGACAAGGGGGTATACCATCCTCATTTTGTTAATCTGTGTGATATCGCTCTCCCACCCCGACCTGGTCTTTTCCGAGGTATCCCACACAGTCTGCGTGATGGTACACCAGCGGTAATCGACCACGGTGGTCCGCATTGGGCCATGTAAATAAAAAAAGACTCGTTTGTCGGCAATATCACTCTTGCCGGGCGTCTAGGCCATCACGGCGCAGCTTTGGTGAGAGAGAAACCGAGAAACCGAGTTGACGATGTCGTAGAGGTTCAAAGCAACTATAACGCGACGTCAGTCGTCGATTCTTCCAACAGATCCATGAGAACCTTGGAATGCCCCGCTCTTCCCGTCCCATCCAAAGTGGGGCAGGTTTTGCGACCAATAGAAAGTAGTTTTATTGGCCAGCTGGCCAACAAACTCCAATCTTGTTGGCTGGGCGGCAGATGGATCCACCCTACATATGCAGTCGACGGGTCCCAATTTCAAAAATCTTGTTCAGAACTCACTTTCCTTTTCCTTTGCCACAAGTTTACACAGTAACAGTGCAAAGATGTCGGTTGAATCGGAAATTCTATCGCTTTTGACAGCGTTACTACAAGTATCGCCAGGCATGCTACAAGCTCATCGTACAGAAATAATTCCTGTACTTGAGACACTTGCAGAACGAGTTGGAGTAACAGTTATTCAAAACCCCTTCAGTGCATCGTATCAGCAAACCGCTCCCCCATTGCAATACCCGACTCCCGACCCCCTCGCCCCTCAAAGCACTGCCTATGAAGAGAGCAGTTCTATCTCTTTTGTTAGGTCAACCCAACAGACCTCCGCCGATGTAATCGCAGTTGCGGAAGTGGATTCGATCGATTCTCCCGCCTCACTCCAGCAAACCTCCGGCGAGTTAGACACTATTGACGACTCCTCCCTTTCCGTCAACAATGAACCACTTGAGAATTTATTTCGGCCTCAGCAGTTTCTGGATAAGATACAAGAAAATCTCGAGAAGATTGTCAAGTTTTCCACTAATAATTCGTCCAACATCATCAAAAGTGTCCTTGCTGTTGAGGATGATCGCCTTCGCGATATAAAAAGCATTATTGGAAAGAAGAAACCAACTCCCAATGACAGATATGTTCAGTGCCTTGCCCAACGATCGCTAGCACTTGAGTACAATCAATGGGACCTCAAGAGAGGAGGGACAAGGCTAGATGATGTATTCAAGAATGCACCATCAGCTAAGATCAAAAAAAGAGGGAACTTTACATACTATGTACAACGTGTTCGCCGGTTCAATGACTTTCAAACAGCTTACAAAGCACTTAAGCGTGGTGTTCGACAACTGATAATTGAGGAGAAATGTGATTTCTCTGGAATAGAAGTGGTAATCCCGTTTACATATCAATATTTTGATGCTTTGTCTTATGACGACCTTCACATGTTTGGCATCCTACTCCAACAGAAAATGGACATACTTGGTACCCTCAAACAGGCTTCATCCTGGGTTGAGAATAGCCAGTCAATATACGATGGTGAGTGAGATTGACTATTCACCATGAAATGCCATTGGCTTATATTTTACATAGGGTACAGGAAAGATAAACGACCTCGCCTTGAATTGGAATCGTCCTTGCCGAGAACCAAGCGCCCACGCTGGGCTGGACCCATTGACATACAAAACCCCGAGAGCTCATCAGCGCACTATTCTTCATCGACACCGTATGCCTCCGAGCGGAGTCTCGCCAGATTGAATACCAATAATGCCACCAGCATGACTGAAGAATGTGCAGCGCGACACAACATCCCAACCACAGACGAAACATTCGTCCACGCCCTGAATACTATACCCTTGCCCCGTGACAATCGGTCATTCCCTCCACAATATGGCATGGGAGACGCCTGGGCGGATACGAGGGAGTGCTTCATGAGTATGCAGCTACCGCAATACGGCTTTCCTGATGCCTCCGCAGGTGGATACTCGTTGGCAGACTCACAAATACCACAGTACGGCATTCCGGATGCCTCCGCCGGTATACTTTCTCTACCTCATCCGATGAACAGCCATCGACAAGAACTTGCTCTCATTACCGACACGCAAATACCGCAGTATGGCATTTCTAACGCATCCGCGGGCGGAACAACAACAGTCTGAAGAAACCATCAAACGATCAAACGTAAGCTGTGCAATAGCTAATGAACATAATGAATTTTTGCTTTATGCGCCTCCTTCCATGTCCAACACAATAAGAAGTGATATTCCCCCTCCTTTATCACTCAGGATCATGTTATCGTCTCCTGACACAAGAATAAACTCCCCATGATCTAATTTTTGTTTATCTTGGAACCTGGGGAGACCGTTGTTCTCATCGACATATTCTAAGCCCATAATGACTAGATGCTTGCCAGGGAATGGCCTTTCCAGTATACCACTCTTATCAGTCCAAACAATTGCATATGCTTCGGCAACATTTTTGAAGGGATCATCCTTGAATGTCTTCGAGGTTCTTCTGGATATATATTCGAGGTTTGCTTCATCCTGATTCATGGTTAGCACATTTCCAGGACTGCTGATGGCTGTTCTCAAACCTTTAACCATTGTGTAATTACTGGCTCAATATCTTTCTCACAGTCGGGAGGAAAGAGCCAAGGATAGGTGGGGTGCGAACTTCGTTTCACCTTTGATCTCACTTTCGATGCCGCTTTGGCTGCAGTGTCTTGAAGTGGCTGCATTCTGCACAGCTTGGGTGATATGCCAGTTGGATATGACAGGGGAATGTAGATCTGTTCCAATGATTAGAACCCGACTAGGCAACAGGTGACTATATATATCGCCTACATGGAATGTTATGCAATCGACTTAAAATGATGTGAAATTCAACGCTGGTATCTTAGTACAAAAACAGGATTTTTCGCCTGCTTCTGCCTCCAACTTATATCTCAGCGGGGCTAAGCGGGGTCAAATGTAATCGGAAAAACTATTGGTCCGAGAGAGCCATCGACAACCTTTAACCATAATCCTCCGTATTACATCCTGTTCCCAGCGAGCTGTCTTCTTCCAAAGATACCGCCCGTGGACGCTCGCTTTGCTGCTTGCGCAGCCCAGGGCCCCCTTTCACCCCATATTGCCCTTTTTCGGAAAAGTTGGTTTTTCTAACTGGTAGTTAGTTACGGTATACGAAGCCTGGCTGGTAGGATGATGGGACGTACACTTCATGAACTTCTTTATATTGATGCTCGAGCTTCTACAATGGCTCCGAAGACTCTGAATGCTTGGTTATCCATGAAACGCTGTTGCAGTTGCTTCATTGTAATGGGCTGCGGAGGATGGTTAGGCCTTTCTAGAGGTGTTCGGGGGCCAAGGGGTGAAGGGGGGGGAGCTTTGGTGCCGTTAGACTTTGCGGTTTTGGGCATTGTGATCGATAAATGATATAGCAATTGTAAAGCCTCGCGGATATTGAAATAGAGAAATAGTGTTCCTCAGTTCTTTCTTGATTGCTTTAGGATCTCCGGGGGGGATTGTGGCTCCTGATATGCCATTCTGTCTGTACCCCTGGTACCAATTCCTTTTCTCATCTTCCCCTTTCACTGGACAACATGGATACGGAAGGAGACGACCGTTGCTCTCCCATTCTAGATGCATGAAACTGTGCCGCACGCTGTAGTGCATGGGTGTAGCGAATCTGTACCCATCTAGACCCTTGTGATGGATGCATGATAGATTTGGAAATACGGGTGATGTGGATCAAAGCACCGCTCGCCGGGTGAAAGCTCCTCTGGGTTCCATCACCGCTTACTTTAGTTTTGTGTACTTCGAAAAAAGTAGGAATACGGCTAGTGCAGACGGGACTCAGATGTTTCGCTACGGAGTACTTGGAGCGACCAACGGATCGGCAAATCACTCCGCAAATTGCCACTTTGGGGGAAACGGCAGCACCACCTCTTCATTGACTGGGAAAAACTATCGCGCAAAATAAACCCTCTGAATTACAAATGAAAGAAAAAGCTATTCGGAATTATTCAAACACTCTCCAATCCTGTTGCTCTGCTCTAGTATTGATCTTGTCTTATCATCATCTATCATCATATCTTCTGCGACAAATTTTGTCAGAACTTCAGGCACAAGCATCTTCAGAATATACATTGCAATCCCACACTTTTGAACAAGACTCTTCTGTATAGCGGCCTCTCTGAGATCACTTGTAAAAAGATATGCAATTTCTTCTCCACTATATATTTATTAGCATAATGACATTAATATGTTCTTGAAATCCTAAGCTTACTTACAGAATATCAGCTGCTTTTGGTCCGTAATATTCAAGGTTATGGTAAAAGGAGACGGTCTTTAAGTGCGTTCCAGTCAATTGCAGGGTAGCCATGCTTCAACCATTCATCATTGACCGCCTTTGCTTTGTGCGCTCAACAAAGATTGTACTGCAGCCTGAAAGGAATAGGGCGCGTGTACTTGATAATGCTGTGATATAGAGTTATATCAATCTCAGCACTGCAGATGTGACATTGTGCATAACTGAGATTTTTCATTACAGAATCAATGAAGATTATATCAGTGAAAGTGACTTCAGGTATTCTTTTTAGTTTGTGAGAATGATGAATTCATTTCAGTTTGTAAGATATTCAGAGAACTTTAAAACTAAAGTCTGAATCTGAACTCTCAGTATTACAGAGTTTAATAAAAATCAGAGAGCTATCTGCTTTTCACTTCTGATCTCAGACTGAAGAGTGTTTCATTTTCACCTTGTATTTATGTAAAGATAGTCAGTAGTAAGTGTCTTTAAAATGATACTGAAGCTTATTAATATTGTAATGTGATAGAACTGAATCAGTGACTAGTCAGTGATGTCATGTAAAGATAGTTATTTAAGAAGCTGTATAAGTGAGCTTGACTATCTTGCTTGAATAGTAAGCTTGTAGACTACAGAGTTATTGCAAGAATATCACAGACATGATACTTAGTATACTAAGAAGATTATATGAGAAACATAGTAACTCTCATATATATTTCAGTAGAAGAAAAACAAATCACTGACTTCTTTAATAAGAAGTCAGCATCTAGTTATTCTATATAGACTATAAGCTGATACTCTTCTTTTATTTCAATGAGTGAGAATAACTGAAGTAATATCTCAGTGATATCTTACTATTAAGAAAGAGTAATCTGCTGATTTTATATAGAAGTGAGATTCTTATATTTATTAATCAGATCTTTCTATGATATATCTGAATAATATTATAAAGTGATTGAAAACTGATTCAAATAAAATAAAATTATTCATATAAAAGTGATGAGCTGTGTGAAACTGCAGCAAAGTCTTGACATAGTTAGAAGTATAATAATACTCTTCTCTTTAAGAGTATAGTTCTGATGCTCTTAAGATTACTGAATTAGAAATTATCTTTATTATATAATAATAATTACTCACTGATTTGACAGTGCATGTGCTGTATATAATATAAAGAAATAGATGAGTTTTTCTGTTAACTGTGTAAATCTTTCTTTTTTCATCTTTATTCAAATTAAATATGTAATAAGTGAGTTTCTTATATATTGATTTAAAATATAGAAAATATAGTTAATAAGTGACTTACAGATCTCTTATTATATTTTATTCTATATATGAAATTCTCTATAAAAGTGATGTATTTTAGAAACAAAGCTAATAGTAGTGATAGAATTTTTTGAAAAGATTCTCTTTCTCTATGAAACATTTTTCTCTTCCTCTTCTCTCATCTGTAATAGTGAGTGCATGAGAGCATTATTCTTGAGAGATAATAAGAGACTTATTCTGATATTTTCTAGTGAGTAATAAATGTCTTTATGATGCAGCTGTGATCTCTGTGACTGTCAAGAAAGCCAGGTTGAAGACAGAGACAGCAGTGTCAATGAGCTGTGAAAGTACTGCTTTCATTGTCACATCTTCTTCTGCTTCTCTTATAGCTGTGACAGTAGTCACTGTGTCTTGCAGTGAGATGTCATCTCTTCTACTGATTGATTTATTCATGTTCAGTTCTTTCTCTGTCTCTCTCACTGCTATTGTGACACTGCCTTTCTTCTCAGTTAACACAGTGATGTATAATCTCATGTAATTATTTAGAGAGAAATCTGAAAAGAGCTTGATTTCAGAGACAGTGACTCTGAAAAGCTCAATTCATAGTTTCTCTTCTACAGCACACTCAAGCCCTTCTCAGAATACTGCTGAGTTAAGTTCATAGAATTCTGTGATTTCTTTGTCTTCTCTCTATGAGAAGGCTTCAGTGTAATCTCTAACTAACACTGCTATTTATCTGCACTGTGTTAAGCAGCTGAAGAAGAAGAGAATCTTATATATCTGCTTCTTCTCTTACTCTTATTATTTTCATTATACTTATAATAATGACTTCTATCTTTCTGTAAGTATTATCTACTCTATAAGAAGACATTATATCAGCTCTGATAAGAAACTCAGATGCTTAAGTAGTACAGAGTGAGAGTCTTAAAGCTTTAAGTATTAATAGATTCTATTAAGACTGAGAAGATCTCTCTTACTTATCTATAAAAGAAGATGAAAGCATGAGTCTCTGAGATGAAAAAACATCTCAGAATGACTGACTTTAAGAAGAGATCAGTCAGTATTATTATTGAAAGTACTGCAGAGATTAATCACTGATTAAAGAGAATCTCACTTCAATTAAAGCAGATGACTGAGATACTTTGTAAGTTAATAAGTTAATATTTTATACATTTCTCATACTCTTCTGTAATGCTGCAGTGCTAACTTCTCAGTAGATAAAGATACTGATACTGAAGACTTTAATAATAAAGAATGAGTTTAATAAGAATGTAATTATTAATGAGTAGACTCTGATCTCTCTTTTTACTTTTTCAGTGAGCTGCAGTCTTATTAGAATAGCAGCAGTCTGTGAGTTGATAATATTAATCTTTTTTATTGATTTTAAATATCTCTTTCTTTTCTTATTAATCACTTCAGGAATTTTACACTTGTATAGTCTTATTAAACTTCTAAAAAATCCTTTGAGAGAAAATAGAAGAAGAGTGATACAGAGCTTATAAGATATCAGCTCATCACTGTGAGATTATCTCTAAAAAACTCTTTAAGAAAAATGAGAAGTCTTAAGTAGTATTTCTTATTCAATGTCTCTGATGTGTAATAGAGCAGTCTCTACTAGCTATCTCATAGCTTACAATCTCTTTCTCAGCATTTTTCAAATACTTAAGCAGTTTTTATAAATTCTCTGATAATGAATAATCTTTTCATTTAATAAGATATTGAAGCTTATTATAATATATTTACTTATTTAATATTTTCTTTACAAGATATTCAGTATCACTCTTAATCTTGATATTATCTAGTCAAGATGACTCTACTTCAGAGCATTACTTATAGAGCTTTAAATAGAAAATGTGAAAAATAGAATGAATTGATTTCAATTCTGTGAGTAATTTCAACTTATATATCTACTTACTTATCACTCTTATTACTAAGAAAGATTCTAGTCACTACTTACTAAGCTTCTTATACAGTCTTATTATCTTAATATTCTTTGCTGAAAGTAGTACTTAATCCTCTATTAAGAACTTTATTGAAAGATGTTTTTAATTATAGTATTTTATCTACTGCTTCTGAATATAATGAATACTTTTTATCATCTTCTTATAAATTTTATTCAAAAGTTTCAATTTTACTTTTACTTCTGATACTGAGAAGTACTCTATTCTCTGTATCTATTTAACATTCTAACTGTCTATCTCTCTCTTTAAAATGTTATTTATAACATCACTGAGTAGTGAAGAATTATATTTATAATAAGTATAGAAAGAAGATATCTTTAAGATTATATTCTTTACATTGTTATATATGAATTTAGTAATTAGAAGATGTTTGAGTTAATCATTCTAATAATATAAATAAAATACTTAAAGATACTGTTCTAGTATCTGATTCTGATATTCAGTCTGATCATCTGTCTGTAGATGAAATACAGTACTGAGAAGATGTTTTATTATAAGATGATAGTAAAAAGCTGATCAGTATTTACTAATAAAGAGAAATTCTTAATCTATTATCAATGATTTCAGAGCACTGTGATTATAAATGATGATATCTAAAAACAGATCAGTCAATTCAGAGGCTTTAATCTTTTTATAAATAGAGATATATTTAATTATCTTTATAAAGTGATTAATAATGATTAAAATTGAGTTATATTCTTTAACTCTTATCAACTTCAGTAGATTAACTATGAAATTTATTAATAGATTCTGTTATAAGCTCTTTAAAACAGGCAGTAATATCAACTTACTGTATTATTTATATCACAGAATCTTTATTCTTTAATAGATATTATAAGTCTTAATATACTCTTTAACATCTGTCTGAAGCTTGTCTTAAATATATTTATATTTTAGAAGCTTCTCAGTCTTCTCTAATCTGAAGTATTCTGTATAAAAATTATTATAATAAATTCTCAATAACTTCTGATACATCACTTTGCTATAAGAGATGAAGACTGAATTATTCAGCAGTAGAAGTTTATATTCTTCTAATTATCAGTGACTTAGTTTTTTAGCAGTATCACTCTACTCAGAGTCTGTCTCTTCTAAGTTTAAACTGAATTCTTTCTTCTTCAACTTCTGAATTTAAGCTGCAGTAGAGATATTTCTCTTCTATAATTTATCAATAAATTTCAAAAATAGTCAGATTGAAAGATTATAGACTGTTTTATTCTTTATCAATTCAATGATAGTAAGATATAATATAAGAAGCTTATAATCTTCAGTATTAGTCTTCTACAGAGACTCAGATTTTCTTTTATCTTCTATACTGAATTATACAGCTGTCTTATCAGTACTGTTTCTGAGCTTCAGAGAATTTCAATTCCCTGCAGTCAGCTTCTTCTATAGTAATAACAGAGATTCTTTTATAGAATTCTTCTCTGCATCAATGATATTATAATTGAGTTATTTAGATAGTATATCAGTAAGATTAAGCTGATCTGAATAGTATCAGATATAGAAATCATACTCTGAAAGCAGCTTCACTCATCTGACTTAATATTCTGTCAAGCTCTTTATTATCAAGAAGTAATACAGATTTACATAATTAGTAAGAACTTATACTGAGTACTTATTACTCTGAAGATAATATTGTCAGATCTTAAAGAATTTGATAATTACTAATATCTCTTGATTATAAGTATCATATCTTCTCTGTGTGAGTGATAACTTCTTAAAGAAAAAGATCACTGATCTTTATTCACAGTATCTTATAGACTCTGTGAAAAAGCCTTCTCTCATAGACATTTCATTATCTGTATTTTCAGAGATGATTATTCTCTGATTCTTTCAATGTTGAAAGGTCTTCAGTGTCAACTGTGAAAAGATTTCATAGATTTCATTCTCAGATATATCAGTCTCACACTGACTGAGTAAGTTGAGATTAAAGTGATTCAGTATTATGACATCTGTAAAAGCTTGTTTCAATTCTGTAAATATCTACACAGTGTCTTGAGTGAGAGTAAATAATTCTATTTTTCTGTCTTTCACACTTCTCT